TCTGGCCCTGGGCACCATGCAGCACCCTGGCTGGGCAGCAGCCCCAGTCCTAGCCTTACCCAATTCCATCCCTCCCTCCTCCACTATGGGGAGCTCAATTCCTTCCCCCCTGCCCACTTATCATGGGGAGCTGCTTTCCAGGCTTGCTGGCAGCCAGGTATATGTGTGCGTGCACACATGCACATGGTGCCCCCTGCCTAACTGCCCTCCTCCTGCTCCCCCTCAACCCCTTGCAGGCTGGAACTCTGCCAGCCTGCAAGGGGAAGCCCATCATTTCCAATGTTTTTCTCCTTTAAAGGAGAAAATCAGGTTTTTCTCCTTAAGCCTGCAAGGGGAAATCCATCATTTCCTGTGTTCTTTGCCTTTAAAGGACAAAATCCAGGTTTTTCTCCTTAAAATTTGAAAATCCAGGTTTTACTGCATTTTTCCACAGTGAAAGCAGAACCCAGATCCCTGCTTATGAGAATGGGTGAGAATGTTACCAGTCCAACTAAATTCAAGATGTATCATATACAGTGCTTTCTCCCTATCAACAAAACTTGTCATTTTGTTGTAGAATGAGATCAGGTTGATTTAGGTCTTGACTTACTCTTGATAACTCTATGTTGTCTGTTATTTATCACCTATTACTCTCTAGGTGCTCCAAATTGATTGGATGAAAATATGTTACAATATCTTTCCTGGTTTCAAAGTTAGATCTACTGGCTCTGCAATCTTGGGGTCTTCTTTTAATGCTTGCCACTGTATCTGTCCTTTTCTAGTTGTCTGTGTGATAAATGTAGACCGGGGTAGCCAGCCCTGGCACACATGCCAGAGCGTGTGGCATGTGAAGGCATTTTGGATGGGTAGATGGTGGGGGAGGTACCAGGGGCCCGATCCTTATATGGCAGCATAGCCCCAGCTCCTCTGCCATTCACCTCGAGGTGCATGTGCACCTGCCACTAGTAATGAGCTAGGCCAGGGCTCCATGGCCCCTAGTGCAGCTGCCTGCAGCAGCACTACCGCTTGCTGCAAGCAGCCCAGACTCAGTGGCAGGCAGCAGGAGCCTGCCCAGAGCAAAGACCAAACATGGCAGGCAGGGGGGAAGCTGCAAGTGGGTGCACTGGGGTCTGCAGAGCCCCAGCTCAGCTTGTTGCTGGCAATGGATGCATGCACGCCCCAAGGTGGATGGCGGGGAAGGGGCCGAGGCTGCGTTAAGCATCAGGCCCTCCCTCACTGTCCACCCCTGGCACGCCAGCATCTTACAAGTTGAGTTTGCAGATGTTTTTGGCACTGTGCCCATAAATGTTATCAGTTATGGTATTCATGTTTTATTTTTGTACCTCAAATAAATTTGACAAAAGAGAAGGTAAGGTAAATAGCTTTACAAAAGGGGGAATTATAGTATGATTTCATATAGGAACTTACGGAAGTCTATTCAGAAGTCCTTGATGAGAGAGAACAGCATATAAGGAAGAAGGAATACAGCCTGAATTCTGCACTGTTTTTGCTATATTGCTTTATGCTCATATACAGAACTATAGTAGCTGGGTATTGGCTTCCACTAGTGTAGAATTGGAGCCTGTGACTAGTTCAGAGTTTTGGGTGTGGACAATGAAAATTGTCTTATTTATTATTTCACTTTCTTCTGAGAGTTTCTGTACATTACTTTAAAATGTTAAATTGCCATACTGTTTCTTTCATGTTATGGCGAGAATTTAAATTGCAACACTAAGCAATCTTTGAAAGCAAATATTCTGCCAAACATTCAAATTATTGTGTACATGATGTACTGTATTAAAAGACAAGCCAACAGATTCACTGGAACAAGATCTAGAGACAGGCCAACACTAAAACCTCAGATCAGAACACACTCCAGTTTGGCAGGTGTTTTTAAAATCCAAACATCTTTTAGCATCCAAATTTTGCACAAAGTTCTTGGCTCAGATCCTTAAGCTTCCCTGTATACTATTCCTGTAGCAGCTGAGGGTAGTGCAAAGATAATTTTATATATTTATGCCAATTCCATCTACTCTGAGGACTGAATACAGGTTGATTTGGCCCTCCATGCAACCAAAGCAGCCTCAAAGCGTTCTGAATTGCACTTGTCTGCAATGGCCTTCTCTGGCAGCCAAGGATATCTGGAATGCAGGTATGCCCTGGCTACACCCTTTTTGCTCTATCATGGTAACTGAAATAGTAGTGGGAAAGAACATTATTGTGTTAGTGTTATGCTATCTCAGGAGTCCTCCTCCCCATTGTGGCATGTCCTTTGTTAATATGACCCAGGTGCCTAAGCATCTAAGAATTCTGCATTTACTGTTACATGAATTTTGTAGCTTGAATCCATCTGTAATAAGAATAATGTATTTGATGGCATGCACTTACTGTAATAAAAATAGTTGTGAAATTTAACCTTAACCCCCTCCTTTCAGAGCCCAAAGCACCATAAAAATTTGCATACAAGACACAAAATCTAGTTCAGTTACCACTGAAAATTTGCTGCCTTTGAGACACAATATGGTAGCTGTTCGATACTGACTAAGAACATTGAAAAATGTTTTAGGACAAGATTTGCAGGATATTGTATGTCAGTGGGTGGGTAAATAGAATGTTGTTTTCCAAGTTGGAAAGAGTAGATTTGGTAATATGAGTAGCCTAGTAAAATTCATAAGTGCCTCAAGTATTTTAATGAACACAAGCGGTCAGAATCTTCAGTGTGTTTTCTTCAAAAGATTATCCCTCCATTAGTATAGTTACTGTCATCTAAAAGTATGCTGGAGCATGGGTTTAGTAATGACTCATAAGGAAAAATGCCAGCTACTAAATCATCAAAACCACTTCCTGTAGCATCTGGGTTTTCCTTGGAGGTCTTCTTGATCAGACCCAATGCTGCTTAGTATGTCCGATCTAATGAAATCACAGCTTGTGGTGCTGATGTTGCCCCATTTATAACTCAGATGTTGTTTTTATTAAAGTCTTCATTTTTTAGAAATGAGTAACTCTGGTATTTCACACTGAATTAGGGAGAACAAATTGGTCTCAAGGTTGTCAGCCTGGGTGTATATTAATTTTCTTATTACCAAAAATGGAGCTGATAGTTTCAAGTCTTTTTAATGTGTGAAAGATCAAATAAAATAATAATTTGTACACTTGGCAGGCATACTCAAATAAAAACACGAGCAAGCGTCTGTTTTACAAATAAAACTTTGAAAGCAAGTATTACTGAAAGTTGATCAAACTTTTTGTTATTTCAGACAAACTGGCCTGTAGAGAACTGATTATTCATTGTAGGAAATTAGGTTATGATGGAAATACCAGTTGTAACTACTGTAATTAGGTCTGATTTGAGTTTTGCCCGTAAGATGGAGGTAAGGTTGACAGTACATACCACAGATTTTAAGTAAATTTCATGTCAAGAATGTTATGAGTGCTTATATTATTGCAAACTCAACTTATATAATAGAGTGCTTCTGGTACCAGATTGAATTAACCTGATTTTTAAAAATAAATTAGATTCTCCCCCCTATTTGTTTCTTCAGTCATCACCAATTGAACATAGAATTGTTTGAATGCTCCAATAGTATCTTTTCATACCTTGTTGTGTTTTGATCTAAGCTTCACTTATCACTGAAGTTTCTAGATTTGTAGATCTTGTTTTGAGGGTAACTACAGCATCCCTGCAATATTTTTAATGTTATATTTTGACATGTGTTCTCAATATTTATATCCAGTTTAGTGTAGCTTTTACAGATGCAGATTTGTCAATACATTCTAGTTGCTTCATCCCACTCTGCAGCAGCACCAAGTAGCATGAATTGGCCATGCAATATTCCATAGCTCCTAACATCTCCTTTTGTACACCAACACCCTGAGTTTCCACCAGCAGATCTGCTGCAATGATTAAATTTTGAAAAATATTTTGGGGGTTGTTGCTGATACAATGAATTTTGATTAACAGTGTTTGCATGTCTAATATCTGGAAATCATGTATCTATGAAGATATTTTAAAGTGTTTTGTAACCTTTCATGAATTAAGCCTCACAAAATCTATCCTATATTCTCAAGTACCACACATCCCCATATAAGACATGCCTCTTGTTTTTAGAAGGTGGAATGAAAAAAAAAGATGTTTCCTTGAAAATAGCAATAAGCATTGTATTGTTGCAGGGAAAACACAGGCAACTGCAGTAGGAAGGTGGAATTAAAAACCTGTGGCTGCTCTGTTAACCCCCTACCTTCAGGATGTAGTGCCCACCCAATTTGAGTTCAGCAGCTGAATCTGCTGGTTCAGCCCAGCTGCCCAGCCCCACTTCTTAAAGCTGGGTGGTCTCTGTGCTTACTCAGCAGGGACCACTGGCTGCCCACCCAGCTGAAAAAGAGCTGAGCAGTTTGGCTCCCACAGTCTGCTTCCACCCCCACAGTTTCCAGCAGCTATTTTTTGGGGAAAAAGATGTGTGTCATATGTGAATGAATACTCAATTTTATATATCTGGACACCAAACCAGGAGAGAGGTAAATGACTTTCCCAAGATCACATAGCAAGTGTGTGGCAAAATCAGTTATAGAACTCATAGTACCTGGGTTTGATTTTCTGTTGTTCTGCACATTGTATAGACATTTAGACTGATGAAAAGTAAATACAAAGTTTTTGTAGAATTCTTCTAAGCCAGAATATTGATATTAGATTCACTTCCCACTCACTTCAGTGTGATCGATGCACAATGTCCAGGACAATGGAGAATCACATTTCTTGACTTCTGGTCTTACAATGAACCTCTTGAAAAATGCAAAATGTCACTATTATTGGAGATAATGGTTGCAATGCTGCTTATGATAAAATAATTACTTTTAATTAAAATGTATAGTGAAAAGACTGTGTCAGTACCTATATTTTTTTATTGAGAAGATTGTGTTACTGGCAATAATTTAAGATTATTCATGGAAACAGTTCAGAATCTGTGCGCTTAAATCTGTTACATTTGTGAAATGCAATGTTTCCAATTTTTTTCTTTTTGCAGATGGTTTATAGGAGATTGGTCAGAATGTAGTAAGACCTGTGATGGTGGAATGCGTTCACGGACTGTTCTCTGTATCAGAAAGATTGGACCTTCTGAGGAGGAGACACTGGACAGTGCCAACTGTTTAACACATAGGCCTATTGAAAAAGAACCCTGTAACAATCAGTCTTGTCCACCTCAGTGGGTTGCTTTGGACTGGTCAGAAGTAAGGAAATTTCACGGATTAGCATTTTAACACATTGACAGTGAGGAAGTCATGAGTTCCTTCCAGTGAATATAAATGCATTTCCTATTGCTGTTTGCTATTTAAAAATGAAGCTCCAAGAGCAGGGGTCCATAAGGGTACCCATCTAATTTGGACCATTGAAGTGTAGTTATATAGGTATAGAAAGAGATTCTAATTTCTAGGGGCTTCTGTATGAAAATATAGCAGAAAAGAGGATATAATGATTTTTAGTGTACCAAAAAATGCCATTTTTTCCTCCAGTAAACAGGAAGACACATAGATGTTACAGAATTTAGATATATTTATAAAATTAGATTTAAATTTATAGAATTTAGAGTTTATCTTGGAGACATGAGAAATGAAACAGAATTGATCCCTAGTACTCCTTGTTTAGGAAAAAGAGATTACTAGCCCTTACATAATTTTTAATATATATGGCCCTATGTCTTAATATATTAGCGTAATTATGGGTGGATGAACCAGTACAATGATGTGAAGCAATGCAAGGAAAACAGAAGTTGACTTGTCCTTGTTTTGAATTGAATTATAAAAGTGCACACACAAGCACCACCTGGAAGGGAGTAAAGATGGCTGTGTATCTTCTGTGACTCTTGTGTTTCAGAACTCTTGATATTCCTGTTCTGGTTTAGTCCCCAACTTATATTTGAGAAGCCTCAAGATTTCTCTAAGTTATGAATATAGAAGTAGAAGGGACTCACCTAGGTCTCATACAATTTTAGATAATATATTTTTTCACATAACTCCTATAAAGAAGCTGTTCCAGAATGGCGCTGCTCCAACAGTTAAAAACCTTCTAAATATATTTATGGCCAGTTCATGGCCAATTCTTGTACCAACTTCATCTTTTAGCCTAAATATTTCTGCTGCCTCTCAGGTGTTTACCCACTACTCTGTTTCATTTATAGAGAGCAAGTATATTCCCTCTCAACCTTGAACTGTATTTGCCTGTTTCACAGCTGCATCACACTAGTGACTCATTCATCTTGTGATCAACCACTACCCACAGATCCTTCTGGGTCATTTCTTATTGATGAGCTCCTGTATTATAGCAGAAAATCATGTTATTAATTTCTAAGTGCATAGCCTGGCATTGTGTACTATAACATTTCATCTTGTTTCTATTCTTCCAGTACTCAAAGGTCAATCTGTTTTTCCTGTGTGTCAGAGCTCCTTCTATATTAATAACTCCTCCTAACTTTATGGTATCTTTAAACTTTGCTAACACATTCCTATTGTTTCTCCCAAAAGTTAATTAATATATTAAATCAAATGTGCCCCAAGACTGATTCTTGAGGAACTCTAGTAAATACCTCCCTCCAACCTAATACTTTCCCTTCCAAGATATTCTGTTGTCATCTCTCCAGTTTCTTACCCATTTTACAATTCTTTTTCTAATTATTGTTTTCCCCAGTTACTCTAATAATTTCCGAGGTAACAGTGTGAGAGATGCTTCTATTGCATTTCCCATATCTAAAAATCATTTATTTTACTGAAGGAATACCTTGAGTTAACCTCACACAATCTGCTTCCAATAAATCCATGTTGAATTTTATTCCATTTTCTATTTATTTTTATATCTTTAATTATTCTTTCCTTCAAATTCATTCTAATACCTTGCAAACTGTGAAGTCAGATAGTGGGTGTTTAGTTGCCCAGATCTTTTACTCACAACTGCCTTTAGCTCCAATTAACTGGTCCAGCATTTGGAAATAAGGCTGGGGAAGTTCTTCAGGCACCCACCTATGGAAGAGGCCATTTGGGACTGGTGTAGAACAGCTCCACTAGTTCCACACCATCTCCAGATTCTCTTTGCCACATGTATGCCACTTCCAGTTGTAAAGTATTAAAGTATGGTTCTGTGTGCTACTGTGGAGCTGCTGTGGTCCATCTCATTGAACACTAAATTTCATAATGCAATCCATATTATTTAAATGGCAGTGTGCAAAGAATTGTGGGATATAATTGGCCCTTCATGGTGATGCTATCGGTGTCTATTACCTAAGAAGGCATTTGGTTTACATACTGAATACTGTAAGTTCCCTGTTCCAAATTCTCTTTATATAGAATCAGGTTTTTAAAAACCGTAAAATTATGCAGTCATTTTATAAAACATGTATTACGCTGCATTTCTTGCTCCCAGTATTGGCCTGCCATCATTACAGACTAGGGGGCAGATCTCACCCCTGGACTTCAAACAGATGACCAGAAGTAGCATGGTAGGGTTAGGGCAGAGAAGCAAAAAGTAGGAGCCATCTAAACTGGGCTCCCTACTCTCCTTTACAGATAAGACAAGTGTATACTATCTATTTAAAGATTTATCCATGATTTGGGGGAAGAGGGTGAGTTGAGAACGGAAGCAGGAAAGGGGATGATTGGAGGATGGAAGCAAGTGAGTGAGGAGATAGATAGAAAACTCTTTCCTATGTCACTTACATAGCATGGATACATATTTAAGGCTGTTGGAACCAGTGTCTAGAACAACTGGGTCCTGATTCTGAGTGGGCCTCCAGACACTATAGCAATATAATAGGAATATATATGATAAATTATAGAGCCATATAGTATGTTGCATTTAATATGCACCTTTGACTGTCTCCTCTGTATATTCTAGCTAGTCCATTATAACTGGGACTAGTAATATGTGCAACTTCAGTAGATTTTCATGGCTTTTATATCTAGCCTTCTGAATGTTTGCATGTGTTATGTCTTGAAATAGGAATTTCCTCACCCCAAATAGTTTCAGACCTCTGTCAAACCACTGATTTTGATGGGTTTTCTGACAAGGTTTTTAACAAATTAGAAGAAACAGTTCATCCACTAAAAGATCTCACCCTAAGAAGTCCTTGTGTCTTGCATTATTTTTGGACCATCATGGCTTCAACATCACTCCGACACTGCTGAACAAAGAAAAGCAGTTTTACTATGTGAAGAAATTATCATAAAACTTTCCCTGCCTCTCTTAAGCACCCTCCATTCACACAATCAGTAATAGGAAACTGGAGGTAATTTACAAAATGCAATTTTAAATGGTAGAAAGAGTTAATATATATTTAGGTTGTTGGGATAATCTAAAGGTATTTAGGCAAAGCAAAGAATCATATATGGAAATTTAAAAAAATAACTTGTGGTTGTCTTTCATATGTATTCAAAGTATCTCAAGGTAATAAACTCAAAACAACCAAAATTGCAATAAGGATTTCTTGGGAAGATACTTATCAGAATTTTTACACAAGCATTTCTTCCTTTGCATTCATATCCCCCTTAGTCATGGTTGCCTCCTTCTATTGAATGAGTCAAAAATTCTGAGTACGTGTAGTAAAAGGAAACTTTATTTCCTGTTTTTTGTTTATATGGGCATTTTTCTTTCTTTTGCTTTGGAGACCTATGCTTTTTGTTAAATTCTAGCAATGCCTTTGGTTTTTGGTGATTCAGTATTATCGTAGGCAACTTGATTATTTCCTTACTTCATTTTCATTTCTGGGGACAGGGTGTAGTTCATCTTATTTTGTGGAATTTTGGCTATTTTTCCATAAAATGTTTCCTTCTAAAGGATGTTATTTTTTCCTAGTACCAGTAGCTACAACTGCATGTTTCTCAGATAAGGACTTTGGCACAGATCCACGAAAAGAACTTGGGTGCCTAAATTGGGACTTGGGCAGCCTTTAGGAACCCAAGGCCAAAATTGCAATCTGTAAAAGGCCCCCTTAACTCTTGCTTTACCTTGAAGGCACTTAACCCCCCTAGGCATGTGTTTTTTTTATATTAATGTTCATTAATCACTTCAAGTTTTGATTCTGCGTATTCTCAGATGTGCCTTAGCCTTGACTGGGCTCACCAGCTGAATGCCATTCTCACAGCCAAATCTCACTGAGATCCACAAACTGGGTTTTCTCCTACTTATATCAGCTGATAGGTTCTAGCTGGTAAGTGTTCTTAGAGACCACCTAAGAATGCCACTTTCTTGGGTGGTCTCTAGAATTGCCAAAGAGGAGATAGTATCCCCTTTTTACGTAATAGCTCAGTTGGTAGCATACATGTGCAGGATTTGGGAGATCTGGGATTAATTCCCTCCTCTACCTCTGGGGATTCAAACCCATGTGATTCCAGCCCCTTAAGAAAGTTCCCTGATCACCTGGCTATAGGCTATTCAGAGGTGGCAGGGACTCCTTTTGCTCATGATGTTCTACTTTGTACTGAATACTTACAGAGATTCAGTGGATGAGAGAGAGTATATAAAAGTGAATTGACTGGGTTAGTAATTCACCTATGAAGGGGATGCCTAGGTTTAATCCCTGGTCTAAGGCCTGTTTATATGTTTTACATTAAATTGTCATTGGATAAAAATATAAAAACAGCCTTTGGAGTAGAGGCTCATATACAGGGCTCCTCTCTCCCAGCAGAGTGCCCTAGAGAGTCAAGCTCACTCTTGCATTCTCTGTCTCATGAATCTTTAATTATTTCCTGCAGAGTGTAGCAGCTTCAATAGGAGAGGTTCAGAATACCTTTCCTTACACCCACCCACATAGCAGAATGTCTTATAGTTTGGTGCTTAAGGCTTTTTCCTGGGAAGTAGGCAACATAGATTTGAACCTTTAGGGCAGAGCAAAGGTTCCCCAGTGATATCAAAACTCTATGTATAAAGTTGGAATACTTCCTAAGGCACATCAGGAGAAGTATTTCACTAGAGATAATGAAGTATTTATACCATTGTGTATGGCGCTGTGGAGACCTCATGTGAAACATAGTCCACAATTCTGGTTACCTGTGTTCAAGAAAGATGAACTTAAAATGAAACAGATGCAGAGAAGGCCTCCTGGGGCAATCATGGGAATGGACAGCCTTTCAATATGAATCAAGACTAGAAGAGCTTGGCTTGTTTAGTCTAGCAAAATGAAGGCCGAGAGGGATATGATTGCTTTCTGTAAATACATCAGGGGAATAAGCACGAGGGAGGGAGAAGAACTATTTAAACAAAAGGAGAATGTTGGCACAAGAACAGATGGGTATAAACTCACCATGAATAAATCTAGGAAATTAGAAGAAGGTTTCTAATCATTAGAGCAGTCAGGTTCTGCAACGGCCTTTCAATAAGAGGAGTGGGGAGTTGATACATTCATGAAAGTGATTATATGATCTGGTGCCTGTGAGAACAGAGGACTGGACTAGATGACTCAGGAACTCCCTTTCTGTCCTATGTTCCTGTGATGTTTGAAAGAAAGAGTAGGCATACTTTGAAATGTTAAGCTGGAAGCCCAAATAAATGATGTCATCTTTTTTCAGCTCAGAGTATGGCTCTGGAGCCCCAGTGAGGGTGGGCTTTAAGAGGAACCTCTGTCCTTGTCCTTGGCATTTCTCTACTGGCTAACTTAAGCATCCTGGTTTTGGTCATCTTATTCCAAAGAGCCAATTTCTGCATATATACTCTATCAAGTGGCTAGGCATCTAACTGAAGACTGTGGGTACAGGCACCATAATCTGAAAATTAAGTACTGAACAGATACAGGTCTCAGTTTATATGTCCCTTTTTGACTACTTAATGTCAGAGCACTTATGTCCCTTTGTGGATCTAGGCCTTATACGTTTCTCTCTGCCCTTTGATATTTACTGCCCTGTTTATATTTGGGAGTCCTTTGGTTATTTACCCATGAATTTGGCTTGCAGTTCTTGAGTGGTGCACGAGAAAAGGATTTTTGGTCTTTTGCCAGGTTTAGGAGAATCCATATGTGTACATTTAGAAACACTCTTCTAAACCTCTTACTTAAAAGCTTGCAGGAGTGAGATGGACATATACCTTATTAGGATATATGAGATACTAGGAACCTATCACTGCACTATGTGGAATTTTGAAGTTCTGATGCCTTTTGTCTCCCTCACCTTATTATCTGTTTCCCTGTCCTCTCCCTGTTTCGCTGTTCTACTGATGCTAGCAACAGGTAATGGACAGTAACAAAACAGGGAAGGAAAAAAGGGCAAGAGAAGAATGGAAAGAAAGAGGAGAAAAGGCTGGATGGACTTCGGACTTTCTTTAATCCAGTTCCTTTTTTATTATTATCCCATTTATTATTAGAACTAGCAGACAACAAAGAAGAAAAGAAGAAAGATTATATTTGAGAGCAGATAGTACCAGTTTGAAGAAGGGAAGAAAAGAAAATCATACATAATAGAAGAGATATTTTCTACTTGAACAAGAATCCCATGTCTATACAGTCCACTAATATCCACGTGTCCATATGTTGAAAATTTTCTTATGTTGCATTTTGATACATTGCCCTACACTTCCAATATTTCACTAATCTGTATAGAATGTCAATGGAAGCTTTACTGCTGAGGTTTGTTATATGCCAAAGAATTTTACATTAATCTCTGAACTACTTATTCAGAAATATTTACTGGCAATGAAACCCTTACTGTAGATTGCTCACTTTGCAACAGGGTGTATTTCTTAAATATAACCTTATGGCTTTTTTAATATGGCAAAAGTATATGCAGGGCAAATTAAGTCTCTCTGTCTCAGACTCAAATTCTCAAAATACTTAACTTGCTTCATGAAGTAAAGTATGTATTATCGATAATAATGCAAAAAAAATATGTGGAAAAATAGTTACCCAGCAGAAAAGCTGGAGAATCACATATCAAAATGTTTGTAATTTATTGCAGTACATTGAAATCAAAGGCAGGAAAAGAAATCTATAAGAAAGATATAATGAAGAAAGCAATCTCTAGCCCCCTCATTTATAAAGAATTGTGGGTGTCCGTACATGTGTAGGGAGGCTGCTCTGACACACTGTAATTACATGCATACTAATTAGCAAGGTCTAGCAGCCTCCATGTCTTGTGTATTAGTGTCCCCACACATCAAAATGGCAGCAGGGTGCTTTAACTAAAGCTTGTCAAATAAGCTTTCGTTAAAGCGTCCCTGCTGCAATTTTGATGTGTGGGGATGCTGATACACAAGACACTTTGGGTGCTTGAATTAGAGTGGCTCTTAGAGCCACTCTAATTAAAGCCCTTCCTGCCACCCCCAGAGCATGTGTAAAAATGCCTGGTGTGTCTGAGCATTTTTAAAATACTCCATACAAAGCACACATTTAATTCATACATGTTAGTGTCTCATCTATGTATATAGGTGAGCATCTGATCTGCATATAGACAGAGGATATTGTCATTAGATCTTGTGGGAACTGTGGTTATGATTTTATTTAAAAAATGCAAGAAGATTAATTTTCATAAGAGTATTTCCAAAATGTTTACTATCTTGTCAAATTGCTGTTATAAACTTGGTTGCATGTTTTTCCAGTGCACTCCAAAATGCGGTCCAGGATTCAAGCATCGAATTGTTCTGTGCAAAAGCAGTGACCTTTCAAAAACATTTTCAGCTGCACAATGCCAAGAGGAAAGCAAGCCTCCAGTCCGCATCCGTTGTAGTTTAGGCCGATGTCCACCTCCTCGTTGGGTTACTGGAGACTGGGGACAGGTAAGATGTAACGGTCTGTTTCTTGTTCTCTGCTTTTGCTATTGATCACCAATTTTGAACTGTGTATTTTACAATGAGTACTGTCTAGTTGCTAGAGCAGCAAATTTGGGACTTAGAACTTCTGAGTCCAAATCTGAATTTTCCTCTGGCTGATTCTGCAAAGTTGTATGTCTCACTTTGGCTCTGTACCTCTGGTTACCTGCATGTAAAATAGCTAGCAAGTATATAGACTATGTCACAGTGTAGCTAGGCTTTATGAATATTTAAAAAGTATTGGACTTCTCAGTTGAGAGACTGAAAGATTGAAAGTGTAAAGCTATAGTATTATTATAGCAAAATTACTATGCTGACTAAGTTGACATATGCTTACCTATAACATAGAACTGTGATTGCAGAGGTCTCTGCTGTCACAACACTGGAAGTAGACATTGTCAGGTAAGGCAAATGAATACACCTGTTTATGCTGAATTTACTACAATGTATTCTCTCCTTGATCATGATTTAGCAATTTAAGGTATGATCTATAACAGGGCTGGGCAATTATTTGGGCTGGATGGCTACTTAATGAGTTTTGATGAGGTGTTGAGGGATAGGGGGGCAGTGGAACAGGGGTGGGTGGGGCAGGGAGGGGAGATGTCAATTGGTCCTATCTGGCCACCAGCCACTGCCAGGAGCCTGAGGGAGGGAGGGATGTGACCCATGCTGCTCCGCTCTGCCACAACTAGGCTGACTTGCACACAACGCAGACTCCTCTGCCCCCTGCATCCATTTCCCCCCTGGCACAGTGGCTGCCAGCATCCAGGCTCTTGTAGCCATCCCACCCACCTGCCTGCTGTGATGAGCCACTGCCACTACCAGACCACACCAGGAAACTTGGGGGTGGCTGCCCTGGGCTGAGTCCCCCCACCCGCAATGGGCAGCACAGACTAGTGGTGCTGTGGCAGCAGCAGCTCAGCATAGTGGGTAGGTGGGGCCAGTGATTTGGCACACTGCATCCTTCCCATCCTGTGCGGGCCTAGTGGCCACAGTGCCAGGACTGCATAGCCACAGTGCCAACAGGGGTGGGGAATGAATATGGGGAGTGGGAGGAGTCTGCATGCTGCGTGACCTGGCCCAGCCTTGGCCCCAGCTATGGCAGAGTGGAATGGCACAGAGCTTTCTCCTCAGGTTTCCAGCTGTGGCCAGTGAGCCAGATAGGATCAACAGGCAGGCTGGATACAGCCCGAGGATCATATTTTACCCACTCCTCATCCATTGTTTTTTATTAAGGGTGAGCTTGATCTTCTGAACTCCATGAGTAGTTTATGACTCACCTGCAGTCTGATCATCATGCCTTACATAGAAAAGGCATTGTTAAGTTTTGGAATTGTGCAAATCCTCCAAATATTGTGGATCTAGGGGATCAGTGGGAAAAGGGGACAATGAATATAAGCAGTGACTTCTTCATGGAGGATAAGTCCCCTTTCCTTTTTGCAGCATGGCTATATCAGCTATATTCCCATTGGCTGTTTTACCACATCTGGGCCCTAAATACCTCCTTTTTAAAAAGAGGACATCATTTATTACTGAACCCCACAGAAACCCATGAATAGGTCATTAGTTTTATGCAGCAACTAATGCGATTTTCTGTTTTGGGGTCTGGGGGTGG